ATAATTCCACACTTGGATAAGCTGTCAGTCTCTTGATTCGACAAACCTTTACCAAGGCCCTGGGTCCCCCTCGTAGGCCCTGTGTGCCAGGCACTGAGGACCTAGAGATGAACTAGGGAGGGTGCCCGCCCTGACAGGCCCAGGAGGGGAGGCTGAGGGCCCTGCCTATGGGTCTGACACAGACACGGGTCCAGTAACTCCTACTCTGACTGGTACACTGGGGGCAAGAGGCCTGGGGTTGGGTGAGTAGGGCTCCTTTGGGGAAAGTGCCAGGGGGCTATAGGGAGGGCACCTTGCTCCTGGGCCCCTTGTTCCCTAGCCAAGGCCCCGTTTTCTGAGAAGATTAGCACAGGGCCACGCACACACCAGCTGTTTTCGTTCCCCTGGTAACTGTGCCAGCTGGGCATGGAGGTGTGACCCGGGCTCGGGAGCTCGTCGGTGCCTGTGAGGTCACTGGCTGGTCGACTATTTTGTCACCTTCAACCTGAACGAGCCTGGCCCCCGGGGGCCTTAGGACAACCGTTTGCTGGCCACCGGCTATCAGCAGGACCTAGACGTATCTGTGCCTTGCCTCTTCCCCCTGAGTCCTCTGGCCCCAGTCTGCATATCGGAGCAGGTGGAAGGTGTTGTGTGGAACAGATGCTGCCAGAAACTTTATCCGGAAGACTTTTAAAGAGACGGATTCCCCGGGCCCCGCTCCAGAGGCCTTGAATCAAATTCCGTCTTGGTGGACCCAGGAATTGGTATTTTTAAGCAACTCCCAAGGCGATCCTAATGCAGGTGGTCTGGGGGCGGGGGGGGGGCGGCTGCTTGCTGGGGCGGGGGGGGGGGGGGGGGGGAGGAGTGGGGGGTGGGGGGAGGGAACCTTGCAGCCCAGGCTCCGAGCGCGGGGCTCGCGGCTGCAAACGCCCCCAGTGGCCGGGAGGAGAACCCCTGGGTTTCAGATGGGGACCTGGCTCCCGCTTGGGCTGTTCCATCCAGATGCGGATAAGAGGCATGCTCTGTTCTGAAAAAAAACTGAAGAAAAGGGCTCAAGGTTATCCTCACAATGTCACTCTGGCTCTTTTGCACTCCTAGAGGCTCACTGGGTAGGAGAGGGGAGAGGGTTTCCAGTGGGTCAAGAACGGGGCGAGACCTAGCACAAGCCCGGCACGTGAGGTACTCGGCGTGTATTTGCCGAGTGCTCAGATGAGCGAACAAATGAACCACCGTTTCGTGTGCTATGTGAATCCTGGCGAAAAAAGATGCACGGCTCATGATAACATGCAGAAAAGGACAAGGACGCGATGGGACTCAGACTCTCAGATCAACCAGGGTCCGACGGCCCTTTTCTCTGTACGGAGAGTGAAGGAGGAGCTTGCCCTGCACCTTCGAGATGAGTCTGCAGAAAGGCCAGTTACCTTCCCAAAGGGAAGCAAGCCCCTCTGCTCTTTGGATCAAACCGTGCACGTGTCTAAAAACCAGCACGGTGTTCCGTCGAACAGATCCCGGGGGCCTCCTCTCCTCTGCGGTCTCTGCCTGCCTGCTTCGAGTGGTCCAGTCCTTAGGTCCAGCGCCTCCCCTACCCCCACGCTTTCGCCCAGGCAGTGCCCTCCGCCTGGAGTGTCTGCTCCCCGCTCCTCTTTGTCTAAAACCTACTTCTGCTTCTAGGGCCACTTCAAACGCCACCTTCTCTGTGATTTCCCCGGTCTCTCCAGCTCTGATTCATCACCGCATTATATCGGAATCTTTCCTATGACAGCCATCACTTTATTACGCGAATGGTTAGCTATTTATCTCCGTGTTTATCTCCCCTTTCTCTCCCTTCACTCCACAAATATTTATGGTTCCTCTCTAAAGGCCGGGTGGGGGTCTGGGGTTACTGAGATGGAAAAGACAGAGCGGAGCCTTGGGGGAGCTTCTGGGCAAGTGGGGGTGGGGGTAGGGGGCAGGCTTTAAGCTCCGAGGAGGCTGGGGCCGCATTCTGACCGCCTCTGGGCGCCATGCCCCAGCTCTGTGCCTTGGATGCAGCAAATGTTCAATACGCCCTGTCTCGAAGTCATAAAGGAAGTGGCATTTCCTCCCGCGTCCTTTCTCCTCCAGGGTCTTCTAGCATTCACTTGATTTCTCCCACATCTCCCCCCTCTGATAAATATGAATCAGGGAGGTATAACTGTGTACTCGCGTTCTCCACGAAGCCCCCAGGCTCCTCCCCACCCACCCAGCTGTTCTCCGCCTCCTGCCGCGGCTCCAGGGGACGGCGCACGGGTTCACGGGAATGGTAAGCAACCCTTGGAAGGAGAGCTGGCTCTCTGGCACTGCTTTGCCTCCTGGCCCCTGCCAGTCCCATGCCCTCTCCCAGCTTACTCAGACTTGGGAACTTAGTGCTGAGCAGAGGCTCATCCGGGGAGGGCTTTGTCTTCCTTCCCGGACATCTCCAACCCGCCTTCCACTTGGCAATGGGGGTGAGCTTTACAAGATACATATCACATCAGACCATGACCTCTGGTCGCTTCAGCGGCTTCCAGGACACTGAGAATGAATGCCAGCTTGCCCCCTAACTCCGGTCACCCGGCCATCCAGTAGCCCCGAGATCACATCACGCTTCCTCACTTCAGGACCTTTGCACTTGCTGTGCCTTCTACCTGGAATGCTCCCCCTGCCACCCCAACCCTGCCAGTGACTTCTTTTTGTCCTACAGATCGCTGTTTCGATGTCACCTCCTATGAGACACCTTGTAGCCCCGCCTCCACATAGTCCATTATGCTCGTCCTTCTCCCATCCAAGTACTAACCAGGCCCGACCCTGCTTAGCTTCCGAGATCAGACGAGATCGGGCGCGTTCAGGGTGGCATGGCCGTAGACTGTTCTCGTCCTTCTCCCTCATTCTTTTCTTTCTTTTTTTTTTTTTTTTCAACGTTTGTTTATTTTTGGGACAGAGAGAGACAGAGCATGAATGGGGGAGGGGCAGAGAGAGAGGGAGACACAGAATCGGAAACAGGCTCCAGGCTCTGAGCCATCAGCCCAGAGCCCGACGCGGGGCTCGAACTCACGGACCGCGAGATCGTGACCTGGCTGAAGTCGGCCGCTTAACCGACTGCGCCACCCAGGAGCCCCTCCCTCATTCTTTTAAACGTATTTTTATGGTCTGTCTCTCCTCACCCCCTACACCGTAAACCTCACAAGAGCAGGTCTGATTATGTCTTGCTCACCATTTTATCCCCAGCACTGTCCCTGACATATAGCAATTGCTCAATTCCTTGGTGATGAATGAAGGACGAAAACGTTAGAGAAGGCACGGGGGCCTGAACTGCTCCCTCTTAACGTTCATCTCACAGCAGGGACAGCTGCGGTGGAAGAACGCCAGAACTCACCCACTCCACGAGCATCTACAAACTGTCTTCAGTGTGGTTGGGGTGGGGTGGGGGTGGGGGCGCTGGGCTGGGGAGACAGTGGGGAAGGCCACAGACCCAAGCCCTGTCCACGGGCTTCGAGTCCAGTGGCAGAAGCAGACTTTGAACTCCTAGTTGTCAGGGCTGGGAGTGTATGGGGGGGGGGGAAGCACCCTAGGGTATCCGACCCAGTCTGGGCGGTCAAGACTGGCTTCCTGGAGGAGGTGGGGTTTAAGCTGGACCCGAAAGGATGCTCAGGGCCTTGGCAAAGGGAGGTGGGCGAGGTGCGGGAGGGGCAGGAGCGCACTCAACCCCTTGAGTCTAGATTTCCTAGACAGCGAAGGCTGCTTGGAGCTCCTCACGACATCCTGAGCAGACAGAACGGGACAGGGGAAGCAGCGGACGATGGGGCACGGGTAGGCACGTTCTGCAGGGATTAGTGAGCTTTGCCCACGCGGTCTTCCCCTCGGTGGGGGGACCCATCCATTTGCTCCGGCTCTTCTTGGTCTGGTGGAACGGGCGAACGGGTGAACGGGGGCCGAGGCAGGGCCTGCGAGGGCAGGTGTGGAGGACGGCCATGTGCAGGAGGCCAGCTGGTGGGACTGTCACCCACTCAGGGCGGCCCCTGAGAAGCAGACCCTGTGACCAGGGATTCCGGAGCCGGTGGCCTGTTTGGGAGGGTGTCCCAGGAAGCCAGGACGGGAGGGAAGAAGCCGATACAGGTGCATCCCGGAGGCTATCGTGGGCAGCCTCTCAGCCTCATTCCTGCTGGGGAGCTCGAGGGGACAGCGAGCACCTGTCTGGGTGGTCCCAGCCAAGGGGCAGGGGGGCCAGGAGATCCATCCAATATCTCCCGTCGGCCGAGGCTAGTTCTCTGGCGCACCCACCCCGACTCCTTGAGCAAGCTGAGTGGGGCTACGGCTGCCTGAGAAGGCTGTCGGGCGGTCAAGGGTGTGAGTGGGTGCGGACACCTGCCACATCGCCCGCGTCCCTACTGGGATGGCTCCTTCCCATCCCTCAGGCCTTGGCCAACCATTTGGATGGCACCCCAGCACGAGGGTCCTTCCCGGCTCTGCACCCCGCTCGCCCCTCATTCAAATTCACACCTGTGCGGAATATGTGCTGAGCCATTCACTTACGTCTCACTTCCCTTGTTTACTATCTTCCCCCCGACGAGAGTTTAATTCTACCATGCCAGACTCCTATTAGGTGCTCAATTAAAACGTCCTCGGAAGGAATGAATTACTGCCAATTCCAAGCTGGGAAGTTCTGGATTCTGAGGCTCATTCGACAGACATGTGATAGATGGGGCCTCTGGGGCACTGGGAGGGGCAGTGACTTGTCCAAGGTCATGAACCGGGGTGCTACCCCGGGCGGCAGAAGCCCCGTCACCCCCACCGGATGCCCGCCCCTCCGGGAACCCCACCAGCGGGCGGAGACGCTCTGGGAGTCCCTGGGGCTCCTTCCGCTGCCTGAGAATTGCTCTCTGCCAATTCTTGGTCATCCAGGCTTCCTTCTCCCCCTACTTTTCCCAAAAGCTGAAGAGCAAGCAGCTCAGACAGCTGTGGAGCTGGGACTCTTCTCTAGTTGAAATGCATTAATTTGTAAATATCTTCATTTATATGTAAATGCGGAGTCCCCGCGCCCCTCCGCCAGCCCTAACGGGGCCCTGCAGCCTGGAGACGCAGCCTCCTTCGGCACGGCTGCTCCGGGGCTGCCGGCAGCTCTCCGTGATCCGATTAGACTCTCAACTTGCCTTCTGCTTTCGCTTCCCCCAGGCTCCTCGGTGCGCTCCACCTGGGAGGCCACCGCCGGAACCGAGGCTGGGGAAGGAAAGAACACTGGCCACGAGTCAGCACTGCTGTGTGACCTCGGGCAAAAGTCATCTCCCTCTCTGGGCTTCCGTTTCCGTCTGGCGTGAAATGGGCAGGGCAGTAAGGTGTGGGTACAGGATGAGGTGGCTTGGGATCCCATGGGGTCTGTGTCGTTCCAGCAGGGAACCCTGGACCTCGCCGAACTTTGGCCAGGGCTAGAGAAAACAGCAAATCTGCCTGCATGTACAGGGTTGTTCGCGGGGATTAGCAGAGGTTCAGGGCGTATAGGCGCCTTTATGAGATGTGAGGAAAGGTGGTTTTTTTTTTGTTTTTTTAATGGTGGAAGAAGGAGGGTGACTGAGGCAGCGCTTTATGTGAATTAACCCGGGGACCCTCCCGAGGCTGGAGCGAGCTTCTTACTGTTGTCATTGCCTTCTAGAGACTGGGGAAACTCAGGCAGAGTCCCCAAGCCCGGGTGACACTAATGCGAGGTGGGCGGAGGGGCAAGGATTGGAAACTCAGCCCGTGGGACAGAACTCTCCCTTAAACCCCACAAGGATTGTACGAAGCAGATCCTACGAAGTCTGTTGACAGGTGAGGAGACTGACACAGAGAGGGGTGAAGGCCCTTGTCCAAGGTCACTCAGTCGGGAGTGGCTGAGCTGTGTTCTGGGAGAGGGTGGGGGGTCAGGGCTGCTCTGGTGGTCCCGGGCTTCCTTCTGGGTGTAGGAATCAGATGGAGGGGGGGTTGGAAATGATGCGACAGGCTGTGGGGGGGGGGGGTGGGTAGGCCCGTGGGGCGGGCGCAGCGGGGGGGGGGGTCTGGGAAGCGTGGGGGCTGATCTGAATGTGCACTTGCCCCAGCATCATCTGTGGTTCCCAGAATAGTTGTTTTCTTGTCCAAAATGAGTTTTTCATCCGGACTGTAACTGGCTTGTCTTAGGTGTGCCTTAATACCTTAAGGTACCCCAAATCCTTTTTGGAAGCAGGTCCAGGGGAAATCATAAATGTCAATAAAGGCATCTGTGCGGCCATTTGCCCGCCGCCTCCGTGTCCCTTCGCGCCCACGTGCTCACCAGACCTCCCCCCGCAAGGGCGGGCTGGTTCTCAGCTCCTGGCACAGAGCCCGGAGAGGAGGGGGACCCAGAAAGGTCCCACCTTCCGGCTTACAAAGTGCACAGCAGACGATCACCTGCCAGATTCCCTGTGCCGGGCTGGGTGAGCCCTGGGCAACCTTCCCGTCCCGTTTTCTTATCTTACCCGCGGGGAGACTGAGGCTCAAAGGGACGAGGAGCATACGCAGGGTCACCTAGCCAAGGTGCAGATTTCACTGTGCACCTACTACGTGCCAGCCCTGCACACTGCTGCCTTCTGCCTGGGCACTGGGCAATGCATTTGCTTGTGTTGTGTGGAAAAACATACATACACGTGTGTGTGTGTGTGTGTGTGTGTGTGCAAGACTATGCCCGTTCAGTGCCAGTCTTTAGCTTTTCATCAATGCAGCGGGACTCCCACCCCTCTCGCAGAGCCGTCCGGCTTTGGGGTAGATTTGCTCTGCTACGGCGGGGGGGGGGGGGGGGGTCGGGGTCGTCGGAACAAGGTGTCCTGCAGGAAGGCGTCTGCTTGAGTGGGTCCTGAAGCCTGGTGAGGAGTTTACCAGGTCGCCAGAGGGAGAGGCACACTGGGAAGTGAGCGTTAAGGGTCCGAGATGTAAAATAGGACCGGGGCCTTCGGAAAGTGCACGAGAAGGGTGTGGGGGCGTGGCACCCACACACCTAGAACACGGCAGCGCATGGGATGGGATCTGCTTCCTTCTGGAAAGAGGGTAGGGGTAGAAATATTAAGTATCTCTGTCCCCGGGGACTCTTCCTCCCCAACCTGCTGCCGCTTCCGACCTGGGGTCCAGTTGTTTAGGGTCGGTTTTGCTTGCCGGGCAGGGGCCTGTGGGGACTGGGAGAGCGTATTGCACGGGCTTCAGGACCAGGCAGAACTGGCTCACATCCCAGCTCTGTCCTTCCCGGCTGCGGGACTTTGGGGAATGTGGCTCACCCTCTCTAGACCTCAGTGTCTCCACCTGGAAACTGGGTTTGGAAAACCCACTTTGCGGGACTGCTGGGAGGAGCTGGCTGGGGAGGCCGACGTCGAGGGGCACGCGGCAGAGTGGGGACGTGACCCCTTTCCTGCTCTTCCTTCCAGGGAGCGTCCCTCTAGGTGCCGGGTTCCCTTCTGCGGCACAGCCCCCAGCCCTGCCTTCCAAGCCCATGGAAGGTGATCCGGAGAACCGGCAAGAGCATTGCAGGGCAGATAGGAAAGGGCTGGGGAAGTGGCCCCCAGCCCCCGGCCTCGACCCCTAGTCCCTGGCTCCTGGCCCCCAGCTCCCGGCCCCCGGCCCCCGGCCCCTGACCCCCAGCCTCAACCCTTAACCCCCAGCCCCCGGCCCCCGGTCTCAATCCTTAGCCCCGGCCCCCGGCCCCCAGCCCCCAGCCCCCAGCCCCTGGCCTCGACCCCTAGTCCCCGGCCCCCAGTCCCCAGACCCCGGGCCCCAGCCCCTGGCCCCCTGCCCCCAGC